GAAGCACCATCTTCAAATTAGCCACACAACTTCCTATGACTGTGCCACCAGAGTTATTTTTTTTTTTTGGTCTTTGGTGGATTGTAAGTAAATCTGAAGAATAATTTTATTACTCGGTCTTCCATGCATATGGATAGTATCCTATCACTGACAGCACTATACTTCAGAATAGATCTTGAAATGTTCTTTTAATGATTAATTTTAATGACACCATTCCTCCTCAATTAGTTATTGCTACCATGTTGTTGTTGTTATGTGCGTTCAAGTCAACTGCCTCTCTTAGTGACATTGTGAACAACAGACCTAAACCTTGCCCTATGCTCTGGCATCTTCATACTCTCTGATAATCTCAAACCCATAAGTTTCATGGTAGTATAATTGAGAATGGCCAAAATCAATCCATTTCAGCTCACTAATGCCCGAGATATCAATCTTTATGTGTTCCATTTCATCTTTTACAACTCCCGGTTTTCTTCTATTCTGAGGATCATACAGTCTGTGTTCCTGTTACTACATCTTTGCCCTTCTCTCTATCCCTCACACAGAATTATGTCTAACACATATGTGGTGCTCAGTAATAGTTATTGACTGAGTGGATGGATAATGCATAAGACAACGACGAGCATTTATGCAGTTGGATGGTTTTTGTTGTTGTTGTGAAGACATCTATATTTGTTCCCATCCAAAAAAAGGTGATCCAACAGAGTGTGGAAATTATCGAACAGTATCATTGATATCACATGCAAGCAAGCTTCTGCTGAAGATTATACAAAAACGACTGGAACAGCACATCAGTAGAAAACTGCCTGAAGTGCAGGTTGGATTTAGAAGAGACCATGGCAAGAGGGATATTATAGCTAATGTCAGATAGATCTTGGCTGAAAGCAGAAGGTACCAGAAATGTCTATCTTATTGACTATGTAAAGGCACTTGACTGTGTGGGTCACCAAAAGCTATGGCTGATTCTAAGAAGAATGGGAATGCATTGATTGTGCTTACGTAAAACATATACTTGGACCAGGAGACAGTCGTCAGAACAGAGCAAGAAATTACTGCATGGTTCAAAACTGGGAAGGGTGTATGTCAAGGCTGTGTCCTATCTCCATATCTTTTCAATTTATATACAGAACAGATTATTTGGGAGGCTGGGCTATATGAGGAGAAGTGTGGCATCAGGATTGGACATAGACTCATCAACAATCTGAGTTATTCAGATGACACAACCTTGCTTCCTGAAACTGACGAGCACCTGAAGCACTTGCTCCCTAAGGCCAAGGACTGCAGCCTTCAATATGGATCGAAGCTCAACATAAAGAAAACAAAGATTCTCACTACTGAGCCAATAGGCAGCGTCATGATAGATGATGAAGACATTGAAATTGTCTACAATCGACACTCTGGTACCAGCAGCCAGGAAATTGAAGGATTAATTACATTGGGGAAGTCTGCTGTCAGGAGACCTCTCCACAGTACTGAAGAGCAGTGATATCAGTCTGGAAACTAAGGTGCTCCTGATACAGGCCATGGTCTTTGCAATTATTTGCTATGAATCAGAGAGCTGAACAATGACTAGGCATGATAAAAAGAGAATTTATGCCTTTGAGCTATGGTGCTGGAGAAGAGTATTGAATGTACCATGGACTGCTAGGAGAACAAACAAGTTCATCCTGGAGAAGGTGAAACCAAACTGCTCTTTGGAGTCAGGATTCTGAAGCTTCGTCTGACATAATTTGGACATGTTGCAAGGTGGGATCAGTCCTTGGAGAGGGATGTCATACTTGGGAGAGTGGAGGGACAGAGCAGGAGAGGATGACCCTCGATGAGATGGATTGGTTAAGTCACTGGTGTAATGGGATAGATGTGTTGGAGACAATAAGATTGGCAAGGGATAGAGGAGGGTTTAGGGCTGTTGTACATAGGGTTGCCATGAGTCGCAGGCAACTCGATGGCACATAACAACAACAACAACTACAGTTGAAGTATTTTCAGTTGTTTTTTGTTGTCTCCCACAATCCAAGGGCTTAGATGTCAAATCTAACTCATCTTCAGTTATATGTCACTTTTAGTTATATTTATAAATAACTAGAAAAAATTTAACTATGTAATACAATGTAATAATGTGTGTACCTAAAAAAGTCTGTACAAATAATGCCAAAACACTTCATATTGAGAGTCTTTTGTATCACTTGCTGCGTCATGGATTTTTTTTTTAAATTTCCACACAGTATTGATCTTTGTACCCTTAAGAATGTTGGTAATGGATTAAAAATACTCACATTCTTATTTCTAGTATTTTCTTCCAAGCTTCTGATACCCATTCAACAATTACTGATGCTAGTGCTTTACTGTCTGACCAAACTGAGTTTATCTCATTTGAAATGTCACTGTTAGTTCAAAGGCTTTTATTCACAGTCAGCAGGATCTAAACCAAAATGCTAATAAAGTCTTTCCCCAGTGATGGTTAAATTACAAATGAACATTGGCTTGTGTTTGTAATTTTCTGTGCATTCCAAAATTTACATGCATGCACATACGATTAAACCATGCTCTTGTTTGAACTGTAGAGATTCTCCTTATAGTGCATTTCAGTTTTTGCAGTCTCCTGATTTGGACAGTTTTAGAGTTGTGTTTCTCACACTCGCCTTTGATCATGCAAATTTAGAAGAATCTAGGGAGCTCTGATAGATAGCCTAATGGTAAAAGAGTTGTGCTGCAACTCGAAGGCACACAGTTCAAATCCACCAGTTGCTCCACAGAAGAAGGGTGGGCAGTCTCCTCCCATGCCATTTTCAGTCTTGGGAAACCCACTAGAGGGTCGACTGTGTTGAGTCCAGCTCAGCAGGACACCACAATAAAGTGGTGGTGTAGTTGAGTTGATTTTGAGCTGCTAAACTCGAAGATGATGCCTCTCTGGTAATTTGAATCCACGAGTGATTCCTGTTGGAAAAAGAAAAATGGACAAGCACATATCATGTGCTTTAGAGACCCCTGGAGTGTCAGCTGGGAGTCAGTTCTGACTTGCTCTTCCTAGGAGGTTCTGGTGTCTGTGTCAAGTTGCATTGCCATCTAAAAGGCTGCAAGTTGCTGGCAGTTCAAATCCACTAGCACATGTAGAATGATGAACATTTCTACCCCATAGATTTTCTAGCCTCCAAAACCTGATGAAGGGACTCTGAATCTGAACCAACTTAATGGAACTGAATTTGAGTTTTGTTTGCGCAATCTGCCCCTGGTAGGAACCATGCTCTCTGCTGACCTCCGGTGGCTTTAGGGTGTATGGCACCCATTAGGACGCATTCTTACATTTCTTATCAGTAAGGAACTTTGAGATTGATGGATAGCGTTTTTTTAGAAAGAGATTTTATAACTGTCCTGGGATTATATGACAAATGCTTCAAGTACCATAATTATTCTTAACCTGCCTGCTCTCTTGTACAACTTAAGCTTCCATTATTGGGAATTGAGACGCATTTGAAAGTTGTTAAGTGCCATCAAATTGGTTCCTACACGCCAACCCAGCTTGCAACAGAAGGAAATCCTCTCTGGCCTCAGTCTGGCCTCATAGTCTCTGTTCTGCTTTATTTAGCCCATTGGTGCAGCCACTGCTTCATTCAAGGTCTTTCTCTTTTTTTACTGACCCTCTCTCCTTTTTCAAGGGAGCTCAGATGGCCTAGTCCTTAGGTAATTTCTCTGCTAACCTCAAAGCTGAGCCACTCTGGCAGTTCAACACTACCCCCCACTTTGAAGGAGAAGCTTCACCCCCTCGGGAGCTGTGTCGTTTGGGTTCACAGAGGAACTGGCTGCAGACTCTATCTTTGTGCTCTCCTCAGGAAGAGGTGTCAGATTCTGTCAAATGCCTTTTCTTTTATGTATTCAGATGATCCTCTCATTCTTCCCCTTTGTTTTATTCATGTGATGAATTAGGTTGTGTTTCATATCTCTCCATTGGTTCTTTTGAATTTTACCCCAACTCCTTTCTTGTTTTGGTTAGTTACATATTTTCATTTTTCAGTTTAGCCAGTGCGTTGTCAATTTTATTGTACCTTTTTAAAGAACCAGCTGCTTGCCTTAACTAATTTGATATTTTAAAAAATTTTCATTTATTTCTGCTGTGGTCTTTATTGTTTCCATTTTTCTTGGTGATTAGTCTTATTTTTCTGTTAGGTCTCTCGCCTCTTCCCCTCTACTTCTTTCAATTGCAAGTTTAAGGTATTGATTTTGGCCCTTTTTAAAATTTATGTTTGTGTCTGTTGATACAAACTGACCTCTGGGAACAACTTTTGCTGTATCAGAATGATTGTGGTATAATTTGTAACTTCTTGATGATGACAATATATTGTTAGGTATTTGCTAGCTGTGTTTCTTTTGTACATTGACTGATAGACATGTAGCCTACTTAGTTTTTTAATTGTCTTTTTCTTATTGATTAATTTTTATATAGTACTTAAAGATATGAATCACTTGCTCTTTACTAAGTATATGCTTCAAGTGTCCTTTTTTTCCCAGTTTGCTTTCCAACTTTATGGTATTCTTCAGTATCCAGAGATACTGACTAGCTTATGTTGTGTCAAAAATCTGACAAACGTCTTGGCTGCATGTTAGATGCTGATAATGGCTACTTCCTGAAGTAGATATTGTCTTTTATACACTAAATATTTTACTCAATGAGTTGGTTTGGACTCAAGGGCAGCATGTTTGAGGGTTTTACTATAATGTGAGAAATAATTGCAAGAGAATTTAGGCCATTTACTCAGATTTACAGCAACGATAAAAAGCACACTTGGGACTTTAACCTATGTCTTCTGTGTCCAGAGCCCAGCTTCGCAAGCATTGCAAACTCAAGTTGTGCTTGATTCTTTTTTTTTTTCCTTTCATTGAGAAAGAATGACACAAACTAAAAAGTTTTCAATGATTAATTATAAAACTTTTTCATTATTGAGCTAATGGACTCACCCTGTCCAAGAATAAGGATAAAGTTAATTTTTCCTCCATTCTTTTAGCTGATATAGCCCAGAGATATAGGATAAGCAAATACCCAACCCTCAAGTTGTTTCGTAATGGGATGATGATGAAGAGAGAATACAGGGGCCAGCGATCAGTGAAAGCACTTGCAGATTACATCAGGCAACAAAAAAGTGACCCTGTTCAAGAACTTCACAGCTTAGAAGAAATCTCCACGCTTGATGTAAGTTGTTCACTTCTGCCAGATCAAACGAGCATTGCCTGTTTAAAGAAAGTAAACAAATTCTTATGCAGACAAAGAATTGGGACAGTCTCATATGATTCATTGCAGTAAATTTGACATGTGCATGCTTAATGAACTGAGTTTTTTCATTAATTAATTCTCTAGAGAATTGTTAGTATTTTGCAGAATTTCTAAATAAAATGACATACGTTACAGTAAAAGTTGTTTGGATTTGAAATGAGGCCAAAGGGAAACCTAAATTATGAAGAAATAGAAATTAAGGTCAGGCATATGCAACCTGCTGTCCATATATTCCTTAATGACCACCCTCAGGATATCCACAATAATAATTCTTATTTCAGCTCCTTTTATAAGTTTGAGTGTACTCTAAAACCATCATCTTTTAGTTAGTGTCAACACTTTACTGTGTGTGCCACCAGGGACTCCATCCTCAAAAATAGTTTGTCTTAATAATAAATTTAAAAATCTATTGATTTACATGCTAAGTAGTATTCAAAAGAATAAAAAGAAAAAACAACAGAAGAAAAACCCCACCTCACAAACCCAAAAGTAACTGAGTTTAGGTTTTTTGTTGTAGCTTAAAGATTTTATTTAATCCTACTTGTAAGCTCATTCAGGCACTCTAGTTAAGGAGTTGTGTTGCCAAATCAAAAGCAAGTAGTTCAAATCCACCATCTGCTAAGTGTGAAAAAAATGAGCATTCGCCTCCCGTGTAATTTATAGCCTCTGAAATCTCAGCGGAAGGTCAGCTATGAAGGAGTCAGTTCTGACTCGTCAGCAGTGAGTTCAGTTGAGTTATAAGCTCATCAGTTAGCTGGATGCTCTTTATTTCATGCATTGTTTCTGACTCCTGGGTCAGAGACAGAGTCTTTATTATTCGTATCACGAGTGACATTACTTAAGGAAAGACTATCACTAGTTTAATAGTTATCTTAGTTCTTGATATTTGAAAATAAGATGCTAGATGGAAATTCCATTTTTCTAGTTGAGATTTTTGTTCATCCCAATGTAACCTTTCATATTTTTAGAATCAGTGTTAAAAACATTTATAGTCATACTTCGTTGGGAGACAGGTAAACAGTTGTTGAAATTGCTTAGGTACCAGAATAAAGAGTAAATGAAAAAGCATGCTTATAGAATTGTGTATTTTTTTTTTCAAAATAATTACATGCTTTATTTTACAGCGCAGCAAAATAAATATCATTGGATATTTTGAGCAAAGAGATTCAGACAACTATAGAGTGTTTGAAAGAGTAGCAAGTATTTTGCACGATGATTGTGCCTTTTATTCTGCATTTGGGTAAGTGTTTTAATTGAAAATAGTTAGTGGGGTCAGCTTGGCTGCCATAAATTCATGTTATTTTGTATAGAATTTCCACAGAGTATCTTAGTTCTCTTAAAGTGACTGACTAGCATTTATTGCCCATCTTTGCTCTCTTTTTAAGGAATTAAAAGTTTGTCTGTTCTCATTTTCCTGTTCTATCTTATTTCAGTATGTGGGTAAGATGAAAAGAATGATTAAGCCTTGTTTCCATACAACTCATTTATTACTCTTCACCCTGTGGCAGGCAGAGTGCTAATGTGAAGGGTTACCCACAGACAGCACACAGGTTTTACCATCTTCATTCATCTCCAGTTCTCCACATTCATCTCCAGTTCTTCTTTCCAGAGCTAACCTCTTCACTGGTGTCCTTCTAACTGGCCCCTCAAATTCATCTAAGACCTAGTCATCAGTTAACCCTGCCATCCTTTTTCATGAACTGCTTTTTTTTTGTCCTAAAACATCCCTTTACAATCCCTCCGCCTTTGTCTCTTAAAATTTAATCTTTTTCTCTGGGGTGGCTTTTGAGTTGTGTGGGTTTGTTTTTCTCTTTTCCTCTAATTCTGATCAGTAAAAACTCGTAACCTCTTAATAGCTTTCACCTTCGTCATCCTAATGAAATTTCTAATGCATAGTCACAAAATGGCTTTTTTCTTTCCTCTTTTTTTGTAGTTTGGGTGAAAGTTTCAGAAGCAGTTAATTTTCCTTTGAACAGTTGAGACATGTTTTGTTTCCTGACATCAGTTCCAGTCTCCTCATTCTAATTGCAGCCTTCCCACTTCCTCTGGTTCCTCACTTCTAATCCTACTTCCCTACCCCTTCCTACCACCTAAGCTTTGCTTTGAAGCTGCCCTTTTTTTCTCATATTATAGTTGATTATACTGAGGAATATGTAAGCATGTCATTCATTATTTGACCACAACTTGATCTTTAGGGTGGGTTAATTTCCTAACTTGAGAGGTGTCAAAGTCTGGGAGTTCCAGGTAGTCTTAACAGATCAGCAAGTCTGATTTTTTGTTTTTGAGTTTTGTTCTACCTTTTTTTGAATAGGACTCTGTTGTAATCCTGACCAGAACAGTCACTAGTAGCTGGGCACTATCTAGTTCTTCTGGTCTCAGTAGTTAAGGCTTTGGACTCTTTCCTTGAGTCTCTGATTCTTTTTACATTTACCCCTACAGATAATTTTTTTAAAAATTTTTATTATTTTGTGTGTGTGTACCATCAAATAGGATCTGACTGTCACAGGAGGAGATTGCCCCTCCTTCTCCAGTAGAGCATCTGGTGAATTGGAACCGCATTCCGCTGAAGATCATCCAAAAACGATTAGAACAGCACATCAGCAGAGAACTGTCAGAAGTCCAGGCTGGGTTTAGAAGGGGTCGTGGTACTAGGGATATTGTTGCTGATGTTAGATGGATCTTGGCTGAAAGCAGAGAATACCAGAAGAATGTCTATCTGTGTTTCATTGATTATGCAAAGGCATTTGACTGTGTGGATCATAACAAACTGTGGCTGACTCTGAGAAGAATGGGAATCCCAGAACATTTAATTGTGCTAATACGAAACCTATACTTGGACCAAGAGGCAGTAGTCAGAACAGAGCAGGGTAACACTGCATGGTTCAAAATTGGGAAGGGTGTACGCCAGCCAGGGATGCATCCTGTCTCCATACCTTTTCAACATGTATGCAGAGCAAATTATCCGAGAGGCTGGGCTCTATGAGGAGAAGTGTGGCATCAGGATTGGTGGAAGGTCTATTAACAATCTCCGTTATGCAGATGACACAACCCTGCTTGCTGAAACTGAGGAGGACCTCATGCACTTGCTGCGAAGGGTCAAGGACTGCAGCCTTCCGTATGGACTGAGGCTCAATGTCAAGAAGACAAAGATTCTCACCACTGGACCAATTGGCAGCGTCAGGATGGATGGCGAAGAGATTGAGATTGTTCACAGCTTCAGTTTGCTCGGCTCCATAGTCAACACTCTTGGCACCAGCAGTCAGGAAATCAAAAAGCATATCGCGATGGGGAAGTCTGCTGTTAGGGACCTCTCTAAAGTACTCAGGAGCAACATTGTCTCTCTGGAGACTAAGGTGCGCCTGATACAGGCCATGGTCTTGGCAATCGCTTGTTATGCATCAGAGAGTTGGACAATGACTAGGGAGGACAGAAGGAGAGTGGATGCTTTTGAGCTGTGGTGCTGGAGAAGGGTACTGAATGTACCCTGGACTGCCAGGAAAACAAACGGATTTGTCTTGGAGAGGATTAAACCAAGCTACTCCTTGGAGGCAAGGATTCTGGGGCTTCGTCTGACATACTTTGGACATGTTGCCAGGAGGGACGGGTCCTTGGAGAGGGACATCATGCTTGGGAGAGTGGAGGGACAATGCAGGAGGGGAAGACCCTCTATGAGATGGATTGATTCGGTGACGGGGGTAATAGGGATGGGTGTGTCAGAGGCAGTGCGGTTGGCACAGGATAGAGCAGGGTTTAGGGCTGTTGTGCATAGGGTCGCTATGAGTCGGAAACGACTCGACGGCACATAACAACAACAACCACCTCTGGGAATGCAGTGCAGCTTCTTGCCACTAGGCCACCAGAGCTCTCTTCCCCTCTATAGTTAAAGAGAGATCAATAGTTGCCTCTTAGATGATTGGTCTTAAGTTTTTAAGAAACCAGTTGTTTCTCACTAAAGTGAGATGTATAGAACATTGCCTTCAGTTCTATTTTTGCCATCTGAATCCTCTTCTGTGTCTCTGAAGGATGTACCACTCTATTCTACTTTCCTTTTTGTGCTGTATTTGTACTTATTTTATAGGGAGTCTTCTTGTTTGCTTCTTATAACTGTTAGGCCCAACTGTATTAGCTTTTTGGAGTACAGTATAACCTCTCCATTTGGTGACTATTCACTTCTATCCTTATTTTACTGCTTCAGTGTGGTTCTGTGTGTACTTTATTGTAAACATTATTGGTGGGGTTTATAGGTCAATATGTAGAGTAAATAGTAATAGAACTATCCCCTGTGCTTTTCATGCCTTTGCTCCTGACTTGCTAAGCACCTTACTTGTGCTTGAAGCCTGTACTGTCCTGTGTCCTCGTTGTAGAAGTGCTTCTTCCAGATACCTCACCAGAAAAACCACCTTCAGAACCTTAAATAAGGAGTACTACACTTGCCATTTGTCCTTCTTTATACCCGTAGTCTACTTATTTTTCTTCATAGCACTTTTTTACTACCCAGATAAATTTATCTGCTCACTTCTTTGTATTTTCTTCACCAAAATGGAAGCTTCATCAGAGCAGAGCCATTGTCTGTTTTGTTTTTCTGTGTACCACATGCCAAGGGTATATGAGAACAAAGGAAGCATATGATAAATGTTGAACTAATTATGTAATCCATTAATAAATGAATATTTTTTTATTTTTCTGTTTTTAGCCTAGATTGGCATTGCCTTCTCTCCTCTTTACTACTCTAGTCAGAAACTAAAGATAAATAAGAGCTCAATTAATCAACAAATGATTCTTGAGAAAGAACGTTACAAATTTGATTTCGAATTTGTCATAGAATTCACTCACTGAGTAACTCCTGAGCACGTATTATGTGCCATATATTGTGCTGGGCACAGGAAACAGCAGTGTAAAAAAAATTGCTTGTTTACTAAATGGTGTTCTAGTGATGTTGGCTTGTTATTTCTGGCCATGTTGGTTTTTCTCCCAGTGTTTGGTTGTAAAAAGTGGAAAATTTATGTTTGAATTTGTCTTGCAAATAAATAAGTTTATGTGTATAATTTTTTTCTCCTTATGTACTAATTTAATGACCCCAGTCCCCAGTTTCATGAAAAACATTCTGGAGTCAAAAGCACTTTTTAAAAAGCAAACACTGCCATTTGGAACTTATATTGAGTTAAAACAGTGAAGTAAAATTTCCTTTAAAGGTATCTGTATACTATTTTTTTTTAGGTAACTGTATACTATTAAATTATTTCTTAAAATGCACACTTTTCTTGGTATTGCCTAGTTGTACAAATTAAAAGATGATGAACATATATATTTGAAGTTTTAAAAATTCATCCATTACAAAATACTAACCATATCTTTTTTTATTCAGCTATATTTTTCCTTAAGCATATTTTTTCTCTTTCCCTATTAGGCCTGTTTCAAAACCAGAGAGATATAGTGGAGACAACATAATCTATAAGCCACCAGTGGTAAGTTGCTATTTCTTAGTATGTGACTTCATAAATATAGATGCCCAGGTATTTGCTGCTAAACAGAAGGCCAGCAGCTTGCCTCCGACAAGTGTTCTCCTGGAAGAAGATGGGCAGTCTTTTCCTGTACGGCTTTTCAGTCCTGGAAACCCAGTGTGACTTGGAATCAAGTTAGTGACACTGGCTTGGGTTTTGGTTTTGTTTTTTGGGTTTTTTTTTCCTTTTCAATTTCCATATATAATTTAAGTAGACATAGTCAGAAGGCTGTCATTGCTGTGGAGTTGGAACTGATTCCTGACTGACCTTGCAGTGGGTTTTCAGAGTTTATAAATGGCACAGAATGAGATTGCCCGTCTTTCGCCTCAGAACAACTACTGGATTTGAACCACTGGAGAGGCACCACCTTTATGTTAATGGTGCAGCTTCCTATGGACTAGGCTACCAGGGCTCAAATGTTTAGTTTGTAAATATTTATTTTATACATAATAACGTTTATAGCTGGAAGCAGGAGCGGCATACACTTCCGAAATGCTTGCCTCCGGAAACTCTATGTAGGAACTGTGCTCAGGCCGTTCATTCATGGGGTCGCTATGAGTCGTCCATGACTCGATGGCATCAAACAACAACAACGTTTATAGAATCATACGATTTTAGAATGAAAAGGAGCCTCAAAGCATCATCTTGTCTTGTCCAAACCATCATATATATATGCGAACAGTTAGTGTTAGTAACAGAGCTGGGACTGGAGATCCTTTATCTTCTAGATCTTTTCCATCTCTTTGTTTTTCATTCAGCCTGGAGCTTAAATGACTTACAAACAAGTTTCACTCCTACCTGTCTTGTACTAACTCAGATCTGCTGGCATATAAACTTACTCTGTGTGTCACATATTAAGGAGCAGGCACATTGTTTTTAACATTTGGACTCAAAAGTGTTTCCAGACTTCACAGAACCTGATCTGTTCCACACTAAAGGAGCCATAGCTAAGAGGCAAAAAGATAGTATTTTTCTTCTTGAATAGACCTGAAGTTCTGTCATTGGAAATAGGAATTTATATCTATTTTCAGTTCATAGTTTTCCTATTATTATCGTTTACAGTGGAGTTTTTTGGACTGAGGGTTTAATTATTATGTAGTCATAAGTATCAATTTTTTTTCCTTAGGCAGCTCTTTTTCTGCACTCAGAGCATTTCTTTAATAGTAGTTTACACAGTGTTACCGTCTCTTCTTAGGTGCCGTTGAGTTAGTGTGCAGTCAAGTTGTCATAGTGACGCCACGTGACAGAATAGAATTGCCTCCAGGATTTTCTAGGTGGAAATCTTTGAGTGAATAGATTGCCAGCTCTCTTTCTCCCACAGAGCCCCGAGGTGGGTTCTGCCTGCCAGTCTTTTGGTTAGTAGCCAAACTCACTGCCATGCCCGATGGTCTAAGACTGCAAATTCTAGGTGAGGAGATGGTCCATCTTTCTCCTGAGAACCTCCCAGTGGATTGGAAATGCCAGAGGAGCTTTCAGCCTTGGTTTACAGAGCAGCTCCCCAGAGCTCTCCAGAACTAGGATAGTGTTTCACAGTGTCCTGTGGTCATTAAAAGCACAGCCTCTGGAATCAGTGTACCTGAGCATGTTTGAATATCAAATCTGCACCCGAACTAGGTGTAAACTTTGGAAACTGGAAATGTTTCTTAGCTTCTCTGTACTTAAGTTGCTTCATTAGTAAAAATTGGAATGGTGACAATAGTACGTGCCTCTTAACAACGTTGTGAGGATTAAATGAGCCTGCATATGTCAAGTGCTTACATACAGTAATAATATCCTTTATAGTAATAAGGATACAATGAGGACTGGATGCTAGCTATTGTTTTTATTGTCATTGTTGTAGACACTTAGTAAATACAAATTTTGAGTGAACGTAGAGATAGATAGAGTAGGTAATCAATAGTAGGGATAGATAGATCTTAGATTTTGTATATTTAGATTTTAAAGCTTTTTGACTGGAACTCCAGATTTTCTCCTAACATTTTCAACTCTTAAGGATTGGCTCAGTTTGTTCCATTGAATCAGTCTTTGTACTCTTTTGCCTGCTTTTGGTGAAAAGACTGGTAAATAGTTTATTGACCTAAATGCAAGGAAAAGTAGAAAAGTTAGACATTACAGACTAAATTGTCAGGCCCCCGATAACTACAGAATTACAAGCTTTTTACCAGTGGTAGCTTTTTGTCAAATTTCTAAATTTCCATGTTTTCTTTAATGACTTTTTAGATTTTCTTGTTCTATAGGTAGGTTAAAGAGACATTTTTGCTAACATAGATGCCATTTTTTTGTTTCTTTTTTTTTTTTAAAAAAACAGCTTTCTGCCCCAGATATGGTGTATTTGGGATCTATGACAAACTTTGACGTAACTTTCAATTGGATTCAAGATAAATGTGTTCCTCTTGTTCGAGAAATAACATTTGAAAACGGAGAGGTATGAACTTTCTAACTTGTTTTTATCTTTAATTCAGATTTCTGGAAAAGCATTATTCTTCTGTTCATTTGTTTAACAGGCTAATACAGGCCATTGATTCTCTGTCTTTGGTGTTTCAGAACCCATTGTTAACACATCCATTGATAACAGTCATTCACCAAAGCTGTGAAATGAATTTGAAAACACCTCTCACATGAAAAGCCTTGTTTTTAAAAGCAGTGCTCTACAGGTTTTAATTCCAAATAGTTAATCCACATTGAATTCCCTTTTTCCACAAATTTATTTTTCTGATTCCCATGCATCTTAAAAGAAACAAGCTGTGCTCTGCAAGTACTGAAAACAGTAATCACATAGCTTCCCATAGTCCTCTCATGTCCTTCGAAGAAAACACACCCAAACACTTGAAATGGCCCCAAAAAACGAAGCTCAAAAACCTTAGAGCTTAAAGGAGACATAAGTAAAGGCCTAGGACGGTGTGGCACCTCTGCTCGTTCTTTGTTATATTTGAAGCATAACTCATGCCATTGATGGCAGACTTTTTGACTCATTTAATTTTTAAAGCTCATGGTCTAGAAATTCCATTTTAAAAACTTCTTATATATGCATGTACGTTTCAAAAAATTTTAGTTGTGGGGAGCTCTGGTGGCGTAGTGGCAAGAAGCTGCACTGCAATCCCAGAGGCGCATGGTTCAAATCCACCAGATGCTCTGCCGGGAAAGGCGGGACAATCTCCTCCTGTACCAGTCAGATCCAATTTGACGGTACACAGACACACAAAATAATAATAAAAAAAATTAAAAAATTAAAAAAAATTTTAGTTGTGCAACTCATAAAATGAACAGAGAGAACTCTGCGCCATAGTTGGCAAACATTTTTAGTAAAGGGCCAGAATGTAAATATTCTAGGCTTTTCAGTTCGTGCAATCTTTGTCGCAACTGTTCAGCTTTACAATTGTAGGACAAAAGCAGCCTTATGTAATATTTAAGCAAATGAGGGGAGCTGCATTTTAATGAAACTTCGTGGGTACATTTAATTTTCATGTTATGAAGTAGGATTTTTAAAATATTTTTTCAACCATTTTAAAAACAAATCCTTAGCTTGTGGGCCACACAGAATCAAGTAGCAGGCCAGTTGTGATCAGCAGGCTCTAGTTTAACCTGGTCAGAACTGGACTATAACCAGAACCCCCTTGTCCTCCTTCCCTGTCGTTATCCTTTTAACCATCCTCAGAAGCACAGTGCTGATTTTTAATAGAGCTGCCCAAAGTTTTACCTTTTTTGAACCTAAAATGGAATCATACTCTTGTGTTCAACTTGTTTCATGAAACTTTATAAGATAGTCATTTTGCATGAAGCTGCAGTTCATTTTTTACTGTGAATATGGTTCTGTTTTGGGAGTAAATCACAAGTTGTCCATTTTGCTGTCAGTGAGCATTTAGAGTGTTTTCAGTTTTTTACTATAATGAATGATACAGCTGTGGACATTCTCTTAACATGTCTGTGGGTGAAAAGATGCATGATTTTCTGTTGGACATTCCTATGAAAGACTAGCTGAGCATAGAGGATCTGTGTTCATCTTGCTCCGCCCTCACTCGCTCGCTCACTGTGGTCCAGTTGGTTCTGACTCACAGCAGGCGACCCCCCCTCAGGTCACGAGGCTGTAAAATATGACAGAAGGAGGCTGCACATCTTCTCCCTCCAAGCCACCAAACACCCAGCAGTGCAGCACACGGTGGCCTATGCCTCCTGAGCTTCCTGTTCACCTACTCCTGCTGTGTGCCGTCAAGTTGGAGCCGGCCATAGCTGACCTTCCAGTGGGTTTTCAGAGGCAGTATATCAAATGAGAGGAGCAGCAGGTGGATTTGAACTACATGTCTTTGTGATAGCAGCGCAGCTGTTTTCCCATTCATCTTACTAGTTGATATCAAATAGCTTGCCAGAGTAGTTATTCCAATTTGAATTCATTTTGTGTATATGTGTGTGTGTGTGTTTTATATACCGTCAAGTCTATTGACTCATAGTAACCCTAGGAACACCACCATCAGCCCTGTTCTGTGCCATCCTCGTGCTCTCTAACCTGCTTGAGCCCATTGCAGACACTGTATCGATCTGTCTCACCGAGGGTTTTCCACGTGAAAGATCATATAATTTCACATCCTTACCAGCATGTCTGTAAGTGAGTAGCTCTTTACTGCTGACTGAAAGGTTGTTTTTAGGTGTCAACTGGAGTATGACTCATAGCACCCCAGTGAACAACAGATCTGAATCCTGTCCTGTCCTGTCCTGTGCCATCATCATACCTTTTGGTACACTAGAGCCCATTGCAGCAGTCTCCGTGTCAGTCACCTGATTGAGGAAATTCCTGTCCTTCGCTGACTCTCCCCCTTTCTGAGTATCTTGTCCCTCTCCAAGGAATAACACCTCCTAGCAACATGCCCGAAATAAGGGAGGCAAAGCCTTATCATCTTTGCCTCCAAAATGTACTCTGGTTCCACCCCCTCCAAGACATAGTTGTTCTTTTGGCAGTCCATGGGATGTTCATCACTATTATCCAACACTACAGCCAAAAAGGCATCCATTTGTCTTCTGTCATTCTTATTCATAGTCCATGCTTAGAGAGATGGTAGGTCCACGAAGGAGAGAAGACCCCAATGACACTGTGACATCAGCAGTGAGTTCTAATGTCTCAGAGATGATGAGGATAGGGCAGGATTTAGGCTAGCTGTTCATAGGGTCACTATGAGTCATACTCAACTCAGTGGCACCTAACAACAATAGGCTTAAATGAGGGACCCCAGAGACAGAAAGGGAAAAATCTCACTACCATCAAGAAAGAAGAACCAGGAGTTCAACATTTCCTTTGGACTTGAGATCCTTTGCGATCTCGAGATCTCAAGATCCCTTGAGATGAAGTTCCTCCATCCAGGGGACAAAGAGGTATAATGCTGGAGAGGTGCTGAGAAGCCGCAGAAATTGGCAGAGATACTGGCACAATTCGGAGAACACATTGTGCTTTAAGGCAAGAGTGGTGCCTTTGGAAATTTATTGAGGAGCTAAGTTTGTGGACCAACAGAACTGGAGCCGAACACCTTTAAGCCATAGCTTATGGGAGGAGAGGCGTGCTTTGGAGCTTTTAACTTGGCAGAGCTAAAGAACATTTCAACAGTTGCCCGGGCAGGACAGAGGCCAGGCCACAAGGCAAAAAGCCAGAGAGAAACCTGCCTTTGGGTATGGCTGAGAAGATCTCTTAACTGAAAAACTGTTCTGGTCATATCTGATCCTGAGTTGTAACTTGTTACTTCCCTAATAAACCCCAAAGTTGTGAGTATTGTCTATATGTTATATATGACCAACTGTAACAAATTACTGAACGTAACAGAGAAGTCTAGAACGTTCATGGGAGCTTTGGTTTTTGTCCAAATTAGTAAGGTTGATGAATGGAAGCAAGTCTGACTTCAGCTTTGGACTGCTGATGCCGAAGGCGAGTCTTCTTGCCTCATGACATTAGAGATGGAACAGCACCTCCTTGCTATAGGACTCACTGCTCAGTTTATCTTAGTCAGCCCCTCCAGAAAGGCAGATGGCTCGAGAAGAAAAGCAGCCACAAATAACCATGCTTAATGATCTTGTCCAGTCTTCGCCTGTATTTTTCCCCCATGACATTTTAAGTCTTGGATGTGTTCACAAAGGTGTTTTGGAGTTTGTTTTGTTTTGTCCAGTTTCTCTTGGTTTTTCAGTGATAGAATTGTCTTAAAATATACCTGTCATTACTTCAAAGGGCAACTTTCTTAGCATTGTAACTTAACACTGTTCTGTCATAGCAAAACTATTGCAATGGCACCTGAAATTCTGTCAGTAGCAATTTTATATCAGATTTAATCTGTCATTAAGGTATGAGGGCAATAAATGCTTTTTTT